TGTGGGTGCTGGGATTTGAACCTGGGTCTTCTGCAAGAACAGTCATTGTTCCTAACCACTGCACTATCTCTCCAGCCCCATAAAAAATTATTTTTTAAAAAGGGCCGTGAATTACATTAGAAACAGCAGAGGCTTGGATCGAATTCAGGCCCTCCACTCAGCTGTGGCACAGAGAAAGTTAATGCTTCCTTTTTATGCCCATAAAATTAGGATTATCTGAATACTCTCTCTCCCCATACTCATTTCAAACTGCTCCAAGATTATTGTAAAGCTAAAATGTCATAAGTATACATAGTATTTTAGAATGAATGATAAAAATTAAACTTGAATCTACTGGAATTAGTTTAACTGAAATGAGAAAATCAAATCATTCTGGCAGAAAAGACCAAAGGCATATAGAATACACAGGTGGTTATAAAAATTTCTATTCTGATGAGACAGGTGAGAATGAAATTTTTAGGAATTCCTCTGCTATGGTAATATTACAACAATGATTTTCAAATTTGAGCATGCTTCAGAATCACCTGGCAGGCTTCAAAGACAGGTGCTAGGCTTCCTCTCAGAGCTTCTCATGAGGGCATAACCTGTGCACCTAACAAGTTCTCAAGGAATGCTGACAAGGCCTTGTCTGGTCAAGGAACCACCCTCTGAGAACCAGTGCGTTAAACTATGTATGCTCTGAAACTGCTAAGCAGGTCCACTCCTCTAGCTTAATTTTTTAAAATAAAAAAACCATAGTTCATAGTTTTTAAAAATTCTGAACCAGTAACAAGCTTTAAAAAAAAAAAATCAACTATGCATTAGGATTCAACCAATAGAAAAATTTCATGCTACTAATATCCCAATGACAAATACTATGAAAATTACCAAAAATAAGGTAATTCTTTTTTCGGGGGGGGGGTGTCTTTATGAGACAGGGTCTCCCTGTAGCCTCAGCTGACTTGAAGCTCACTACGTAGACCAGGCTGGCCTTGAACTCACAAAGATCGCCTGCCTCTGCCTCTGGGATTAAAGGTGTGTGCTACCACACCCGGCAAAATAAGGTAATTCTTATACTATTTATTTATGTATTTGTATTTTTTAATGTGTAGGAGTGTTTTGTGTGCATGTATGTAAGTGCACCCATGTAAGTAAGTCTTGCAATGCCAGTGGAGGCCAGAAGAGGGCATCAGATCTCCTCAAACTGAAGTTATAGAAGGTTGAGCTACCATAAGGGTGCTGGGAACCAAACCTGGGTCCTCTGCAAGAGCAGCCAGTGCTCTTAACAGCTGAGCCATCTCTCCAGCCTCAGCCTTTTTAAAACTTAAAGTCCTGACAAAAACAAAACACAGCAGTTTAAAAGGAACAAACACAGACATGAATTTTGATGAAAGAAGACATAAAAAAATACTTACAGGTATGGAGACATTCTGTCACTGTTGTCGGCTTGATCAGATACCCTTTACATATATAGCAGGTGATGTAAGGATTGAAATCTTTCACCAAGTGTTTCCTTTGGGCAGCCATTCGTGGTTAGCTGGCTTTAGCAGTTCAGGCAAAGAGGGGTAACTAAGTAGATGAAAGGCTGGTCCCAGAAGCTGGCGCAATATTCTGACAGGTGTTCTGAGGCATGAGCACCAATACCCAGACTGGGCATAGATCACTGATCATCACTCCTTTTGGTGGTTCTGCTTTTTCATATCTGTTTCCAAAACCACAGAGAAGGTGTCAAATTGTTCATACTGTATTTAATGTCATTAACATTAGAGTCTAATGTTAGAGGGTCTAAATTTGGTGAATAGGTGAACAGAACACTGCCTTGTTATACAATTAACCTGTAAATCTGCCTTGGTTTAATTCTAAGTAACAAATTCACCCAGTCCTGAAACCTCCAATGACACACAAAGCTAATGACTCCAGTTAATACTGTTCCTTGTCAGTACTGCATTTTAACTATCTGCTTGACTGCTCTATTAGGAGTTTCTGCCAGTACAAGCTAAAACATTCAAAACTGAAGCCATTATCCCTTTGACCAAAATGCTATTTCCATGTTGCTGCCTATGTTAATAGTCAAATCAAGGAGACATCCTTCTCCATTCTTTGAACAGCTATCTTCCTTGTACATTACTCTCCACCCACAGCTCACTTTACATTCTGCCAGTTTATCTATCCTACTACATGTAGGTCTTCCCCAAGAATGTCAGCACCTCCTCCTTACAAACAGAAGGAAAAAAAAAAAAAAAAACCTAGTGTCTTTCAGCCTGTTCTTTAAGATGTGAGCCCCACCCCCAGTTTGACTTTAACATTTCCTTCAACACTTTTCTTCGGATAAACTGAAGGGATCACTCCCCTCCCATCATCCACCCTGCAGGCTGTCTTCTGACAAGCTTTTCTTCTTTTCTGTCTGCATGTTACTTGTCCCTTAGAATCCTTGTCCCTGCTGTCCTCAATCTAATCTCCCCCTCCTTTTAAAGCTTTACTTCTCCCTAATTACATTTTCCTTTCAGTTTGATTTACAGTTTTCATTCATTCATTTTTTTTCTAGGCAGAGTCCCATGTAGCCCTGGTTGGTGGCCTAGAACTCCAGGTGTAATCTTGAACTTCTGATCATGCAGCCTCCCCCTCCAGGGCTGGGATTATAGGTGTGTACCGCCACAGCCAGTTTATGCTGTGATAAAGACCAAAGTCTGGCATCATGCATACTAGGCAGACATTCACTCTACCAACATTTTTTCTTTATCTCCTCTATCAGAACATCTTCAACAGAAATCAGTCATATACACGTTTAGCAGTAGTTAGGAAATATACTTTTTCCCCTGTAAGACTCAAGTTCTTTGCTTTGCTGCATTTAACCGTAAAATGAAAATAAGAGCACTAGCCACCTACCGAGATTAAACCAGACAATTTTACATAGTATAGCACACAATGAAAACTAGATAAATGCCATTACCTTTTCTTGCAACTTTAAGCATGGCTAACCTACACACAGGTTACTTTTTTAAACTTTTTAAAGTTTCTTAAAAGGAAGGTGCCTGTTTAGAAAACACATGTTAAAGACGCCGATTTTCCTAAGCTCATTCTATAAACAGGAACTTTTCTTCTGTCTGGGTCGTTAGCTCATGGGCGAGTGTGAAAGGCAACATCCCATCAACACACCGAGGTGCACGGCACAGGCTCTCCGTGTATCCATCCGAGCCCTCTGGGAAATCGTGCTGAGGATGTGACAGAAAGTGTAGATTAGTTAACTGGCATCTGTGGTGCTGGCCTTGGCCCTGTGTCTGACCTGCGACCAAGCTTTTAACGTCGGCCCGGGGTCCCTGCCTTTCCCACAGGTCTGCCGGGAAGCTCTGGAGGAAGAGTCCAGGGGACGCGGAAAGGCCGGACCCGGTCTCCGCGACGGGGTAAGGAAGCCAGTGCTAGCGGCGAGGGGAAGGGGCGCAGGCAACTTTTCCCCGACGGTGGCGCGGCTCCCGGGGTCCAG